CTTGCTCCTGGCTGTAACATTTGTCATGGGCCAAGGGCATTGCTCCACTGAGGAGGACTGTCCTCATGAGCAGCAGCTTGGCTCAGGGCGAGCAGCCTGCAGTGGTGGCAGGAGGCTGTGCCTCTCCTTGCACACCGGAGCCCAGCACACACCTCTTCTGGTAGGTTTTGCTTCTTGCACAGCCCTTCTTCACTTGCTCCTGAGAGGTCTGGCAGCTTCAGTATTTCTTTAGGGCTGGAATGACTTGATCTGGGTAAGGCACTTGTGCTGGCTATCTCATCTAGAGTCCCTGGGAGGATGGGAGGTCCTTCCTGCAGCTGTAGTGGGAGCTTGGACACCTCTCTGCAGTGCCAGGCTCCCTGGGGATGGATGGTCTGCTCTCAGTGAGTAGGTTTTAGCATATCCACCTACACAAAGGTTAGGAGTTCCTGCTAGCCCAGACCTATATTCCCCTGGCTGCTGCAGCAAACCTGGAGCAGAAGGCATCAGCTGTGTCCTGCCTGGCAGCTTCACACAGTGGTTCATGGTGGTGGACTGTAGCAGTGTCCATCAGTTTTCCTAATACCCATCTGAAGTCATAATTCACTCCCTGATCAGAGCTACCCAAGAGGGATTGTGGGATAATCTGCATAATAATGTTGGGGAATTAGTCAACTCCTGAAGAATATCTGAGCAGCTGGCTTTAGGCCATGAATTAAATAGGTGATTAATATATTCCACATAAATGTTAGGGATAGGCCTCTGAACACCCATCTGAGTTTCTTCCCCTGTGCACCACCTCTCTCCTTTTGGGAAAATATGCTGGATTTCTCCCCCAGGTGCGCTCTGCATCTTCCCTCCCAGCAGAATAAAGCTATGCTGCTGCTTTGAACACTGGCTATTTGTGTGCTTGGTTCAGAGGAGGAGTCCTGCAAGGGGAGCTGCAGCTGCTTCTGTTCAGGAATAACCTCTCCAAGCTTGCCGCTTGTGCTGTGTGTATACCTCCCTCCCCACTGTCTGTGTGTGGTGTGGGTTGGTTGGCACAGCTTTCCCAGGGAGCAGCTTGAGCACAAAGCCTGGGGGAGTAGAGCTCTGGGGGTTGCAGCCAGTTTGCTCAAAGCAGGAGCTGAGTTTCCCTTGGTGCAGCATGTGGGAAGTCGTGACCGATGGCAGGGGCTGGGGCTTGCTCCCTGCCTGTGTGCTTGGAAAGTCCTGCGTTGGTTTCATGTGGCTAATATGGGAAAGGTCTGCTTGGCAACCATGGAGGCTGCTGGGTCCTGGCTATATTTAGTTTTAACCAGGTTCTGGAGGAGGGGAAGGCTTTTGCTTGAGAAAGAATCCTGTTGCCGGGAGTGCACTGTGACTGAATCATTGTCAGTGTTTGTCTTGGGTCGTGGCGAGGTGTGCATGGATTATGTGGATATGGAGAAGGGGCTGAGTGGAAGGAAGGAGCCTTGGCATGGCTCTTCTCTTCTGCAGATGAGATGTGTCGTGTAGGGCAGAGATAGGGATGGGGCTCAAATCCTAGAGTCTTTCTTTGCTGGGATTCATCTGTAGCATTATGTCATCTTCCTCAAGTCATCTCCTGCAGTCCTGGGCTTCTCAGAGAAGGAATAATAGTTGTCTTCTCCCCTGGGAGAAGGCACAAAGAATCTGTAAAGGAAGGAATCTGAGCCCAGGTTGTCCCTTCAAGTGGGTGCTGAGTGCACGTGCCAGCATCATGTGTCTTCTGGGTTACCCTGCATCCTGACTGTTTGCATCCTGGCATGGTATTTTGGAGTCATGCTCCAGTCTTGGTCTTTCTGGGCACCTGCCAGCCTCCCCAGAGCCTGGCTGTGGCCATTTCTAATTATTAGTGAATATTTTACAGTCATGTATGTATGCTGTGCTGGTGTGAGAGAAGAGGGTTTAAGCAGGGGACATGCCAGTCATTTGGGGGGACACTTCCCAAGGCCAGGAGTTTCTGTTCCTGTTGCGTAGGGGAATTTCCAAACTCTGTGTTTCTGGTTTTTCTTCCTCCTTCACATAGGGTGTTTATCAGCCAAGGGGAAAAACTGCCTGTCCAGCTGTAGGAGGTATTTAGCAGGCATCAGGGAATGCCCCTTGTGAACCATTGCTTCCATCACAAATGATAGTGAGAAAAGGAAAAACCTTCACTTGGACCTTGCTGAGGTTTGCTGCCCCACTAAGGCAAGCTGAATGCAGCCCTGGGGTTGGAGGAACATTCACTGTCCCCCAATGTCCCTCTGTGCTGCTGCACTTAATGCAGGTTTAGTGTGTGAGCAGTGCCGTGGCCCACACCTGCAGGACCAAGGTGATATGTGTGCCTCTTCCCAGAGTCCAGAGGTGACATCCTTGCTCACCCAGGCAGTGTGGTACGCTGAACCTGAGCTTGGTCCTGAGAGCAGTGTCCTTGTGGTCATCTTTCTCCACCACTTCTGCCAGCTCTCCAAAGCCCACCTTGGAAGAGGGAGGATCTCAAGCATCTGCCTAGATGCTTTCTGCAAGAACCAATGTCCACCCCAGAGCCCTGATGACAAATGCAGCTGGGATATGCTCTGATGCTCATCCTAGAAGCCCAAGGAAATATGTGTTCCAGTCTCCAGCTGCCAGGGGATGTTTTCTCCTTGGGTTTTTCTTACCATTGGGTGTCTTGAGTTGTGGGGCATGGAACAGAAGGGTGATTTTCAGAGCTGGTGGAGACTCTTCTCCACCTTCCAGGCTCATCAGTCCAGAGATTTTAGAGTGCATAAGGCAGAAAAAAGACTGGCAGGAACTGTCTGGTGCTCTCAAATGATTTTATTGCCCATCCATGTGTTGAGGTCCAAGGGGAGAGAGTGAGTGCAGTTGGCATGTTACTTTCACTGATCCAAAGTAAAGGAGCCCTGTTCCCTCTCCTGGGCTGGAGAAAGCAGTTCCTGGTGCAGATCCACGTGGAGCCTGCAGATCTACAGACTGGGAATCTGTGTGGCTGTGCTGAAAGGTGGTTTACTCCTAATGGCAAAGGGCCTGGGAAGTTTGGTTGTCCTCGGCAGCTGTGACCGTGGCTGAACCCTGCCGTGCTACGTCTCTTCGCTGCATGGGAAGGTAGCGGTGTCTGAGAGAGAGAGCAGGCAGAAAAAGCGGAGGAGAGGCACTGTGCACGCCCTGGTTTTGCGAAACCTATGGGATATAGCTGGATAAGCACTGGAGCTGACACAGGCTGCAGAAGGATGTGGGGAGCGAGCAAATAGAGGAAACAGAGAGCAGGCTCCAGCTTTGTGCTTGCACGTGCCAAAGGGCAAGTGACTGACACTGACTTGCAGGGCTTTTTTCTGGGTGGTAGCAGCTTGCTGCAGGGCAGGGCTGCCAACGTGGCTTGGGAAGCACAGCTAGCCAGCTGTGAGAAGCAGGAGGAGAAGGTAGGATGCTCAGGGAGACCACATCCCTGACCAGAAATGCAGAGTTGTGCCCCAGACCGCCTGGGCTGATGTTGGGCAGCCTGAGCCAGTTCACTCTGCAGCAGAGCTGCGTGGAGGCTCTCCAGCTGGGCTGGGGCTGACTCACAGCCCAGCGGTCACAGCCAAGTCAGGTCAGCCTGGCCTGGAGGGGAAGAGACAGTCTCTGGAGATGGGAATGCCGTCAAATCTTCCAGCTTCTCAGGCAAACAACCTTGCCCTCTGCCTGCTGGGGTGACCTCCTTTGCCAGGCATACGTTCCCCTCCCTGTTCCTTCTCACCAGCACTGTCTTCAGCTCTGCAGCTGGAGGTTTCCAGCCAGGTACAGAGCAGATGGTTGAACCAGCCAGGAGGTGGGAGCATGGAAAAAGCCACTGGCAGGCCGGGGTAGGCAGATTGGGGCAAGCAAACCGCTCTTTGTAAGGCAGAGGGCTCAGCAGAGTATTTGTGGTGACTGGGGCCAGGAGCGGCTCAGCTGGGCATCTGCAGCCAGCATGATTCCCATGAGGTGAAGTTGCTCAGTTTGGCACCAGGAGCACCCACTTTGTCCTGAACAATGGATGCCGTGGGGGAGGAGCAGGCGGGACATGCAGGGCTCCTGCAGGCAGCAGAGCATTCCCCAAGCAACCTGACCTTGGCTCGTGCTGGCCGGGGCAGTGCCGGCTGCCAGGTGGTGATGCAGTTAACGTCGCAGCGGCCAAGGACTCCTGTGACTAAGGAGAAGGGACTGAAGCAGGCTTTGAGATTTTTCCCCCAAGCTCTGAGTCGTGTTGCAATGGCAGGGTCCAGCGTGACCCTGCCTCCTGCAGTGCCAGCAGTCCATGCTGGTCACCCGCGCCCAGCCTGCTCCGTGTGGTGTGAGAGGTGCCAGTCCCTGTTCCAGCAGTGCTCTGGGGATCTTGTACTGGCAGCCAGAGCCACGTGGCTCTCCAGCCACTGACTCTGCAATGCCTTTAGGCTTGCTGTGCCAGGAGGCACCAGGATATGCTCGTGGCTGCTCCTCCCAGCCCTGGCAGCAGACATCCCTGATAAAGTCCCAGGGCTCTCTTCCTGGTGTCTTTTCATCCTGGGTTTTGTTGGCTCTCCCTCTGAGGACACCATGCTGTGGTGGGATTTTTGGGCTGGATCAGGGCTGGGGGAGCCAAGGCACTGGACTCCTCCCCGGGAGGAGGCTCAGCCCTCGTGCCCCACAGCTCTGTTCCCTGGGGAGCTGCCTGGCAGGCTGGAGTGGATGGGGCCCCTGGGCATGTGGCTGAACCCATTCAGGAGCCAACTGTTTTCCTGCTGCCGCTTGTACCCAGAACAGGAGCTGTGGGCAGGCCATAGGGGCAGAGGATAAGGAGGCAGGCAGCAAGGTTGGTGCTGCTGTCACACTAAAGGGCACCACAGTGATGCTTCTGGAGCACTTTTCCCTCAGTAGCTTTGGTCTGTGCCTTCAAAGGCTATGCTGACCACAAACTCTCAGCTGGAGGTCCAGCAAGCAGTGCTCCATGCACCCAGGAGGGAATGTTACCTAGACGTTAGCCCTGTGCCGCTTAGATACCACTTGCCATTGACTTGCTTCCTTTGCTGTTCCTTTCCCAGTCTTCAGTATGCTCCAAAATCGTCCAGCTGCTGGGCCAGAACGAGGTGGACTACCGCCAGAAGCAGGTGGTGATTGTGAGCCAGGACAGCTTCTACCGGGTTCTCACCTCGGAGCAGAAATCCAAAGCACTCAAAGGCCAGTTCAATTTTGACCACCCAGGTGAATGGAGAACAGCATTGGGGCTCTGCCACATGGTGTGGGGCAAGGGCTGGAGTGGGACCCCCAGTTCCACCAGCAAAGAGCCTGCATGGACACTGGGGCTCTGTCTCTGCATGGGGCAGGACTGGATGGCTTAGTTGGCCACCTCTGTCCCCTGCAGTACAGCCTATGTGTCTTGAGAAAGAAACTGCCTCTGGGGTGGAGTGTCTGGGATGAGAAAGGGCAGGTTGTGAACCTGCAAACGCTTCTTAAGATGCTCCTCTTCCTGCAAAAACGTCCCCCAGTTTGAACACCTTTATCATAGAATCATCAAATAGTTTGGGTTGGAAGAGACATTAAACCTCATTAAATCTCATTAGACATCTGCCATGGGCAGGGACACCCTTCACTAGACCAGGTTGCAAAGGAACAAATTGGTTTTTGGTGCAGCTGGATCAGACACAGGGGGGATCTGGCCTGGCACAGACCCCTGGAGCCAGCAGCTCCACGTCCCTCCTTCAAGGAGGGAGCCATCTGTGCAGCTGCTCTGCAAACCCCTCCACCAAGGGCGTTTTGCCCTGTTACTACAACAGGGGCTCTTTGAACCATCTCTGGGCCTGGTGGGGAAATTCCAGAACCGCTGTCCCTTCATCCCCGTGAGCACAATGGCCAGAGGCAGTGAGCACTGAGCAAACAGAGCCCTGTCTGTCCAGGGGCTCCAGGCTGGAACACTGCTCCAGTCTCTCCAAGGGCTGGAGCCCTGGAGGAGATGCCTTCCCGCACCCAGGCTGTCAGTGCTGCTGTACAAGGGCGGTATTGATCCCTGTGGGCCACATCCCAGGCTGCTGCAGAGCCATGAAACCCCATGGCTCTGGGAGAGCTGGGCCTTGCTATGTCCATGGGGAGGTGCAGGGCTTTCCTCCCAAGTCTGTATGTCTGTCTTTCCCCAGTACAGGGTGCCAATGGCTCTGGCTGGGCTGAGCTCAGCATCTGGTGGGTGGGAGAGGTTGCAAAGCTGCCTTGGGTAACCTTTCCTCTCTCCTCAGATGCTTTTGACAACGAGCTGATCGTGAAAACACTCAAAGAGATCACAGAGGGGAAGACGGTCCAGATTCCTGTCTATGACTTTGTCTCCCACTCCAGGTCTAACAGCTGCTCCTGCCTTGCCTTTCTGTGCCTCCGCTAACGCCCTGTGGTGCAGCTCCCAGCCCAAACTGCCTGCCCCTCTCACACCTACTCTTAGGCACCTAACCTACCAGCCAAAAGTTTCTGTCCTAACTACTCCAGCCCCTTGGTTAGAGGATCCAGGGCAGATACAGGAACAATCTGGGGGTCTAGAAGGCTGCATAGCCATGCAGTGACATCCAGCAACATACAGGCATCAGTGGAAGGGGATTAAGACTCCCCTCTTTTTCCCCCCCATCTACTCTTCCTCTCTCCATAAACTGGAGCTTTAGCAAGTATTCCAGTCTCAAACAGCTCAGCAGTGCCAGGAAAGGAGGAAGATGGCAGTTCTTGCTCCTGTAACACTTCCCTTGCATGTGTTCAGCTTGTTTCTGCATGCCTGTGTTGGTCATGGGTGGTGGGACCCTACTCTGTTTCTCACAAAAGCACTGTGCTGTCAGGGGAGCGCTGCCTGGTTCCCAAGGGAAGCAGAGCTGGCCGTACAGGTTCCTGTGGGTCAAGCCCCATGCATAGGCTTTCCTGGGCTTTATGGCTTGTCACATAACACTTGGAAGCAGCAGCTGGGTGAGGTGGGGGGAGAAGGGCTAGTGTGCTTCCTGCTCTGCCCTTTATCCTTCCAGGAAGTGTACCTATGCCTTGGATTCCCTTCACGGCGGTGGGGTAGGTTTGCCCTCTCCTTGGTCGACTCCCTGGTGCAGCAGTGATGTCCCAGGGTTGGAGCAGTGCCTAGGAGCATGCTGTTTCCCTCCCCCTCCTCTCTTTGGTTTCCCTTCCCACCAGCATATTTTGACTCTCTTCCCCCTGCTAGGAAAGAGGAGACGGTGACCGTGTACCCTGCCGACGTGGTGCTCTTCGAAGGCATCCTGGCCTTCTACAGTCAGGAGGTGCGGGACCTCTTCCGCATGAAGCTCTTCGTGGACACGGACGCGGACACCCGGCTGTCCCGCAGAGGTGAGGCCCTGACATGCCTTGTGCACCAGGGACAGAAATACCCCTTAACTAATCTGGGCAGCTGGTGCTGGAGGCAGGTGACAGTGACCAGAGCAGAACTGGAGCTGGCACAAAAGCTATGCTGCAGAGTGTCACAGAGGGCAGCTTGTGGCAGTGAAGAGCACCTTGCTCCATGTCTCTTGGGATTTTTGCTGCCTTGCCTGGGATTCCTGCTCTGATGCATGCAGCACTGTGACTGCTGAGCATGCTGTGTCCTCATATGGCCCCATGGCACCAGCTCTGTGCCAGCAGCTGAGTGGCAGCTGCTGCCAATCATACAGTTACCAACATGGAAGGGTGCAGTGGGTAAGGCAAAGCATCTGAACAGTTCAGTCAGACGGCAGTGCCTGATAGATCCTCTCAGGGCCTGGCATATGGGTCTCCTGGGGGAAGAGAATTGGAAGGGTAAAAGTGAGAAAACTTGTGAGTTGAGATAAAGACAGGTTAACAGGTAAAGTGCTCCGAGGATGGTTTTTGGGTGTGAGGATGTCTGTTGTGGATGGTGCAAAGGGAGTGTCTGGTTGTACATCTTGTTCTGTGCAATGCAGTGTGGAGCCCCTTTGGGGTTCTTGGCACTGGGGTTATGATTTGGGGGCAAAGAGCCCTAGAAACTGGAATATCCCTCTCTATGACTCCCCTTGTCTGGTTGGCTGGCTTGCCAGCTGACATGGGAGGGATTCCAACTCTGCAGGGTCTGCATGACTTGCGATGCTGTTCATTTTGAAGCAGCCTTTAGGAGTGGGTCACGGGTATAGCACCTCCTGGCTGACTGAAAAAGCATTTGAGGACTCCTGGGGCAGAATTCACTTCTGTCTGAACTGTCCCTACCCCTGCCTGGCTCCAAGAGGCTCCACAGGGTGTCTGGGGATGCAGAAGAAGAGGAGTGGTTCCTTCCAGAGCTCTGTGCTGTGACGACAGGAGCGTCTCAGTGCGTCAATCTGGGAGTATTGTGTGTGCATGGGACTGTTCCACTCAGCAGTGGAGCTGGTCTTGCCTGCCCTCCTGCTGTCAGACAGATACACAGCCTCCTCAGCTACTGGGTTGTCATCAGCACTGATTAAAATCTCCTTTATATACATCCCTCTTGACCCTGCCCACTGTTCCTGCATGACTCATCCAGGGAGGTGACAGCACAGTCAGTGCAGGGAGATGTATTAGCAGGTCACAGATATGCACTTGCAAGGTCCCAAAATGTGAGCTGTAATCCCTTTAAACAGACCGTTGTGCAGAAGCCTGGATCCACACCCAGCCACAGGGCAGCACATTGTCATGGTGTAACCCCAACCAGCAGCTCAGCCCCACGCAGCTGCTTACCCAACCTCCCCTGGTGGGAGGGGGGAGAGAATCAGAAGGGCAAAAGTGAGAAAACTTGTGGGTTGACATGAAGACAGTTCAGGAGGTAAAGCAAAAGCCACAAGCAAAGCAAGATGAGGAATTTATCACCACTTCCCATGGGCAGGCAGGTGTTCAGCCATCCCAGGGAAAGCAGGGCTCCATCATGTGTAACAGTTATGTGGGAAGACAAACGCCATCACTTTGAATGTCTCCCCTTCCTCCTCCTTCCTTCAGCTTTATGTCATCCTATATACGGTATGGAACATCCCTTGGGTCAGTTGTGGTCAGCTGTCCCACCTGTGTCCCCTCCCCTTGCTGCTGGGGTGGGGTGAGGAGCAGAAAAGGCCTTGGATCTGTGTAAGCACTGCTCAGCAACAACAAAAACATCTCTGTGTTACTAACACTGTTTTTAGCTCAAATATGAAACACAGCCCCCTACCACTGTGAAGAGAATTAACTCTATCCCAGCCAAAACCAGCACATTCTTCACTTCTTATTCCAAACCACTTCCTTCATGCTCAGGTGCCACACTCCAATACATTCTCTTTACCCACCACCCTTCTTTCCATCCTTTGATGTAACACACAGATATAATTCCCCACGTTATGGACCATCCCTGTTAATGTGCCTCAAGCATCCACTGAGTTAATTTAGTCTGTGACTTTGGGCTCCATCTGTTATGGTGGTCACTCAGGCCAGGAGAGGTGTGTTGTGTGGAGTTAGTGGGCACCAAAGCCAGCTCAGGTTGGATCACTGCTGATCTCACACTGCTTCTTGTAAGGCTTGTTCTTCTTCCACTCACCATGAATTGCTTGCAGAGGAGCAGCTTTGCTGACTGAGGTGCTGGTGTCTCCTAGTTAGGGCAACTTCATGTTCCCCTGGTAGGAATCTGGCTATTTGTCTGCTGTCAGCAGCTGGTAGGACCACTGCAGCATTAAATCTGTTTACTGTATGTCTCCCTGGCATTTCTGGGAAAGGATAGCCTGTGTGTGAGGTGCCAAAGGTATAATCATGTCCCTGGAACGTAGCTGGAGGGAGCTTGTAGCAAAAGTTGGGATCTTGCATTGTGATGTGGCCCTGAGTCATCTTTCTGTCCCAGAAGTCCAAAAGAGTTGCATCAATGGGCTTTTCAGCTGGGCAGCAGCAGGAAGTGAGGTTCCTGGAAATCCTGCTGACAGCTCAGTTGATCAATAGTGCTGGGGTTCAGTATGTGCAACTCACGCTGTCCCCATCCCGGCCCCTCTCCCAAGAATAATGCTGCTAGCAGAGTGCAAGGGGCAAGGTCTGTGAGGTACCTCAAACAGCCTGACCTATGGGGATCAGGGACCTGATTCTGGCTGAGATCCCTCGCTGCCGTGTCCTTGGCCAGTTTCTGTAAAACAAAGGTCTAGTGTCATGTGCGTGTTTTGGGCCTGATTTGAGTGATGCCTGCTGGCTTCAAATGGGTGCCGATCTGTCCTTGGGATATTTGCCTGCCCTGTGAGTGATCCCTCCAGATCGGGTGCATGGTCTTAGCCTGGTTTGTTGGGACCTGTTGCTTTGGGGCCAGGTACCAGACAGTTGGTGCTTGACTTCTGTTTGTGTGTGGAGCAGTACCTGCTGTGGTCTGCCTGGGATCAGGAAGGAGAGCTTTGCCTTGTTAGGACCAGCCCCTGCACCTTGGGGCAGCTCTTGGGCTTCCTGCACATGCTGTAAGTACACCCTTCCCTGCCTCAGCACAGACAACAAATAGGGTGTGGGAGCTGGAACACAGAAACCTGTTTTATTTTCCCTGCCTCTTTTCCTGTATTGTTTGAGCTAGGGCTTGCTCCTGCTCTCAGGAGCAGGCAGGGAGCTGGCACACATCCTTTTTCCCCCATCACTTCCCATGTGCAGGGCTGTGAAAGGGTACACTGTGAAGCTGCTGGCCAAGGGCAAAGAGATGTGGGGATAGTGCCAGACCAGCACTGTCCTGGCCCTGTGAGCACATGGGCAGCGGCTGCCCAGCAGGTCACACAGGCTGGCAGTGCTGTGCTTTGGCTCTGCTTGGGACATGAGGGAACGTTTTCTCCCAACCCAGTGCCAGGCACTAGCATGCTGGGGGAAAGCCAGATAGCCCCTTGGGGAGAGCCAAGACCCATCTGCTCGGCCACAGGGCTGTTTTGGCTCCTCCCCACGGATTGAATTCCTGCTGAACTGGGGCACTTGTCCGCACTGAAGTGGCTTCAGAGCAGAGATGGCAGTGGCCCAAATAAATAGCTCATGCAAACAGGGTGTAAGGCCCAAGTGGCAGAACAAGTAGGAGGCCAGCTTGCTCTCTTGCCTTGAGGCTTCCTCCTGAGCTCGCCTCCTCCAAGCACACCTTCAGACTCCTTTCCTTCCTGACCCACTTGGCTGAGGATAGCACTAGGAGCCTGGCCAAGCTGGGCAGGGAGTTAAGTTTTACTGTCTTGCCTCTGTAGACCTGAGTTAAACTGGGCCTTAGTGTGTCTGTGGGTGAACCTCACTGCGTTTCTGTTCTTTGGACATGTCTGCACTGGGATGATTGAGAGAATGTCCAGTCCAGCAAGGCAGAGCCACAGGAGGGGGGCAAGGGCTGAGGCTGGGAATAGTCAGGACTGGGGTGACACTGGTTACGACTGGAATATACTTGCAGAGCTGAGAAGGGTGGGAGGCCAAGGAAAGCTTTTGGTCAGGTCAGCCAGCCCTTGGCTCCCAGGAAGGCTTGGAAGCGGGTTAAAATAGTGTAGCTGGGCTGGGATATGCTCAGACATGTGGGCAACAGCTTCTAGGAACAGAGACCTCGGGCAAAAGAGCTGAGTGGCTGGCTGAAGGCTGTACTGAAAGGAAGGAAGGTGCAGAGATTTGTGTCTCAGCTCCTGACTGTGCCTTATATCTTCCCCACAGTGCTACGAGACATCAGTGAGCGAGGCAGGGACCTTGAGCAGATCTTATCTCAGTACATCACCTTCGTCAAGCCTGCCTTCGAGGAGTTCTGTTTGCCGGTAAGTCAGGGGAGTGACACCCACAGGAGTCTGCCACAAATACCTCATACCCTGCCTAGCTCCTCAGACAGGAGCGTTTTGTGCCCAGAGCTCAGATCAGCCTTCTGTGCCTTGCTCCTTCCTTGCAAGTTCTAGACAAAATGGGGCTGCCAGCACTGGCCAGGGCAGGGCAAGATGGGGACTATTTACATAGCCTTCCTGGTGAGATCACCATTCCCTAGGGGAAGGCGACATGACAAGAGAAACCCCTCCCTGCACAGGGCCTGACAAACCACTGGGCAGCTCAGCAGATGACAGCCTGGGAGGGAAGATTCTTGGCTGCATTTAGCCAGGGAAGGGGAGATCACTGCCCCCAGGCAGTGTCTGCTGTGGCTGCCTCCTCTTTTGGGCTGTCCTGCCTGCCCTTTCCACCCTCCAGTGCTGCTGGCTTCATGCTTGGGAGAGCAGGGAAGCTGCTGCTTCTCTCTGTACCATGGGATGTGGCCTTGCAGGTTGCATTTCCTGACTGGTGAGTGGCCAGGGTGGGCCAGGGTTGCAACGTCTGCCTGGAGAAAGGAAGCTGTTTTAGGAGCTGTTACTGGAGGCAGGACTCCTTAGCAGACAGGGACTATGCATGTGGGAGACCAGTCCTGCAGAACTTGCAGGGGAAATAAGCAGGTTTGCAGGATTAGCCATTGTACACCTTTCCCGGCTCTCATGGAAAGGACCCTGTCCCTTTGTTCTCAAGGCTCTTCAGGCAGATGTTATATGAGGAAGTTATATGAGGAATTTTTTTCTTAGTCTGAAGGAACTGTGTCAGTAGAGTCCCGCAAACTGGGAGCTGCTGGCCAGCACCAGAGGCAGGAATTAAACCTGTGCCTCTAACCTCAGGAGCACCTCTGTGCCAGCCTAGCCAGCTCTACCCTTTCCCATAAGAGAGGCTGATTCTTTCTGTGCTACAAGATCTTTTCCTGGCTCCTATGCAGCTCCCTCTTCTCAGTTGTGGCTCTGGGAACCAAATCCAGTGTAATTCCAGAAAGGCTTTTTCCCAAAAGGCAGGTCCAGCTTGCAAGGCTCCTCTCCTTGCAATCCCCAGCAAGGTAAAGCAGCAGATGCTGCTTCATCAGTGTCTTCTGATGAAGAGTCTGTAGGAGGATGAAATGTGAAACAGGGAGGGCAGAAAACTGCTTTGTCCCTACCCACAGCTTTGCAGTGGTCTGCTCCCACTGCTATCCTGGTGCTTAGCTGCAGAGCAATTGCATGCAGATATTGAGCAGACTCAGCACTCGCTGTTATTTGACTCCTAAACCAGCTCTGGGCCAACTAGTCCAGCACTGAAATGGTCCAACATATCCTGGTGACTTTTGATATGTCTGGAAGCTATTGGAGGTGTCAGGTGATACCCATCACCCAGCTGGCTTGGTGGAGCTTGGCTGTGAGCTCTAAAACTGACACAAATGGGAGAGGAAACTGAGACTGGCCCCTGCAGGTGAAACTAGGTCAGAACTGGTGTCCTGAATCACACCTTCTTTGCAAGCGAGGTGGTAGGGAATTCTTCCCCCTTTCCGAGCAGATCATGTGGCTATGCTCAGACAAGTCCAGATGGATTCAGTGGGAAGGATGTTCCCAAAAGCATCAGATACTGGAGTCTTGTGATTATGAGGCTTCTTAATTCCAGGTTTTGTTAGAGTTCCTCTTACTGGCGTCTGTATGAGCTCATGAAAATGGAGTCAGGGCACAAAGCATGACCCTCAACACACAGAACAGAATAAAAAAGAGAGCATCCAAAATATATTATCAGCAATCAGTGGGTTTGGGTTTGGCCAGGGGAGGGCAAGGACCTGTCCCAGGAAGCAGGGATGATGCCCCAGCCTGGTGTCTCTCCAATTTCCCTGTAACGCAGTGCTCTCTCCTCCCAGACCAAGAAGTATGCTGACGTGATCATTCCCAGAGGAGCAGATAACGAAGGTAAGTGGACCCAGACACCAGGCAGGTGGCTTTAAGCTGTTGCTCTTGCAGTGGAATTAGGTGGGAGGTAGCAGGACCTGCCATGGAGGTGACCCAGGTCACTGCCACCCGAGAGAGTGCTGTTACCACACCGTGCTGAGATGAGCCTGTTCCCTTTGCTCCTGCCTGGAGCACTGGCGACTGGGAGTTTGTGTTTCTCTGATCAAGCCTAAGAGCCCATCTATATGCAGTGCTTCCAAGCAAACTCCTGTTTCATCCCACCTAAAGGGGAATGCACTTTTTCAAGGCATGACAGCCCCTGGGTCAGCCAGGTCTGGAATCAACCTGGCCATACTGGCTTGAGTGCCAGGCTCAGCTGGGGCAGCGGGATGAAGTCCCAGTGGGGCAGCTCCTCCCCACAAGGTTGGGATGGAAGGGGACCAGGAGCAGGAGAGAAACAGCAGGGGCATCAGGTTGGCTCTGGTTGATTTGCAGCGATCCTAATGCAGTCTCTCCCCCTTTTGCTCACAGTGGCCATAAACCTGATAGTGCAGCACATCCAGGACATTCTTAATGGAGGACTCAGCAAACGCCAGAGCAACGGCTACCTGAACGGCTACACTCCTCCGCGCCAGCGGCAGCCCTCAGAGTCCAGCAGCCGGCCTCACTGACGGGCGGAGGTGTGAGGCTGCGGGCCGGGCACCAGGCCCTGCCACTGCCCTTCTGTACATACTGTCCGTTCGATACCCCCTTATCTATTTAAGAAACCAGACGGAGACAAATGCCTTTAATTTTGTATGTTTGAAATGCCGAATGAGAAGCAGCCAGTTTGCTCGGGAGCCTGGACCGCCCACAGCTCCTGGCCTTGCTCAATAACTCCTCCATCACGGAACCGGCTATAAATCTCTATAAATATAGAATTGCTCTATTTTTGTGTAAATGCAGAATAATGTAAAATTACTTGCCGTAAGGTATTTGCCAGGCTCAGTGTTGCTGGGAGGGGCTGGGAAGAGGCTCCTGGGAGATGTTGGTGTGAGGATCTTCACCTCGAAGTCGGTAAGGAAGGAAGAGCATTCAACAATGGCTTTAGTATTGCAGGTCTCCATCCCGGAGAAGGACTGGGCTGTGGTGGAGGTGGCAGCTTGAGTGTGGCATGAGTGTTACAGCTGGATCAGGATTGTCTCCTACCATTGGTGTTCAGGTCTGAGCAACCTGGTGTTGGCTGGCAGGCGCTGGCCAATGCCACTGGGAGCTAGGAGAATGATGTGGAAATACCTCTCCCTGACTGTCTCTACACCTCCAAGTCTCAATCCCTCAACAGCATCCTATTCTGTTCTGAAACCCCTTCCCACCACAGGTGTGGGGCTGCTGTCACACCCTCCAGCAAGGACCTGGTAGGTGGTGCTGGGAGTGTGGTTATACCGACATGACATCTTGCATTTTTAGCAGTCTCACTGCCTGGTGTGTATGGGGACAACATGTGGATACCTTCAGTCCCTCTGGAGTTTGGTGGCTATGTCTGTGGTGGCACTGCTATTTGAGCCCTGAGTTCAACCCTGAGCCTGGAGGTTGGCTTGCAGGTCAGAGGTGTGCCTGTCATTCCTCACTTGGAACAGTTCTGCTCTTGTGTGGGGGATTTGGGGTCTGCAACATACAGCTAAGGGGGAACCAGCCTCTTCTAAAAGAAAGGGGCAATAAATGATAAAAGGCAGCTGAGGGGCTTAGTAGTGTGTGATGGTCCTGGGGCTGCTTGGCATCCCTACATGGGACATCCACAGGCCCCAGCAGGGTAGTGTGAAACTAGGTGCCCAGAAGTCCTCTGCTCCCCTTTTTCAGAGCATGCTGTGGCCTGGCCTGTGTCCCTTTCATTTTGTCCTGGTGGACAACACTGTCCCTGCAGTGTGTTGTCCCAAGGGCTGCTCAGGCACGCCCTCCCATGTCCAGGGTGAGAATTAGTCTCCCCTAATCTAGTAGTGTTACAACAGCCGTGTCTGCGGGTCCTGGTGGGGTTCTGCTGCAGATCTGGGGATTCCTGGGGAGCAAGGTGGAGCACTTGGGCTGGGGCAGGGGCTTAATGGGAGCCAGTGGAGGGAATGTAGTGGGATAGTAGCCAGGAAAGATCCTTTGCCCCATGCTGCTGAGACTGACTTCCCCTACTGGAAACAAAATTTCGTAGGCGTCCATCCCACAAAGCCTGGAGCAGGAATCCTTAGACTTGCTCTCTGTGATGCTTTTCAGTCTTTCCAGAGCATTGGTTTTGCCCTGTATGGTTAAAAGTTTAAGACCTTAGACCGTGTTCTATTGCTCTCCAGCCCAATGTGAGCTGAGACAACCTTTGGTCTTTGTGCAGAGAACAAGAAAGGAAACACCTCCCCCCAGTGACTGCTACTGGGGTAAACTGGTTCCCTCTTGGTCTGTTATGGGGGCACATGACAGCCCTTTAGCCCCCTCCCTGTCTTCCAGCACTCCCCAAGGCATGTCAGTTTTGCCATAACCAAGAGCTGGCACTGGCTAATTCTACGTATTGCCATAGGTAAGAGGGATCACAGCCCTTCAGAGCTGGCAAGGCTTCTCGGGGCTTAAGCAGCTGAGACAGCTCTCAAGATAAAATAGTGGCCTCCTCTCCCCAGTGAATAAAGACAGAACAAATGGATGCTGGTGTTTACTGTCTCCTGTTCGGTACTGCATATTGCTGACTGCGGTCCCAGTATGCAAGCAGACTTGCCCAACGTTGTCTTAGTTGTGCAAGTCAAAGCCAAACCTGGAGCAAAGCTGCTGGCAGACTCCTGCTTTGGTGAAGAAGGAGATGCTGGAGGCAGTGGCTCTGGCTTTTGGCTGGCCAACCATCTCTCAGCAAGTCCTGGTGCACATGTGCCTGGGGGTGCTTTTCCAGAGGTGGAACCCCTCTGTGCTCTTAAAACAGCAGGGAAGTAGACAAGTTCAGCCCTTCCCAGTAAATATCTTGAAGAGATGACAGGCAAGTGTATTTCATCAAAAGACCTCACAGGCATGGTGGCATTAGCACTAGTGGGGTGTCAGGCAAAGGTGAGGCTGCTGTTAGCAAAGGAGTAAATAATTTTGTGGTGAACCACTTGATGTCAGCATGGGTTCATGAAGGGGAAGTCCTGCCTAAATGATCTGATCTCTCAGAAGAAATGAGTGGCTTGGTAGGTAAAGGAAGAGCAGAGCATGTTGTCTCCCTGACTTGTGTCAGGCTTTTGATATCGTCCCCTGTAATGTCCTCATAGTGAAGCTGTTGATGTATGGGCTGGATGAGCCCAGAAATAGATGGAAAATGGGCTGAAGGGCTGGTCCCAACAGTGTGGTGATCAGTGGTGCAGGCAGGGGTCCATAATAGGTCTCCCCATCCAACATCTTTACTGAAGATCTGCATGATGGAGAAATGGGTTGATGCTCAACAAAGGGAATTGCAAAGTCCTGCACTTGGGAAAGAACAATCACATGCACCACTATGTGCTGGGGTCACCCATCTGGAACACATCTCTTCAGAGAAGGCTGTGAGGGTCATGGTTAGCCTGCAATGTGCCCTTGCAGGAGAGAGCTAAGGGTATCCTGGGCTTCTTTAGGAGAAGTGTTGCTGGCATGTTGAGGGAGGTGATCCTTCCCCTCTGCTTGGGTGAGGCCACACCTGAGTGCTGCGTCCAGTTCTGGACTCTCCAGTACAGGAGCTACTGGTGAGAGTCCATTGAAGAGTCATGAAGGGATGGAACATCTCTCCTATGAGGAAAGATTAGGAGTTGTGGGATTGTTCAGGCTGGAGGAGGCTGAGGGGAAACATTAATGTATATAAATAGCAGGAGGGAGGGTGAAATGACAGAACCAGTGATAGGACATGGATACAAACTGAAAAGTGTTCCCTCTGAATATCAGGAAACACTTAACTGTGAGCATTGGCACAGCTTGTCCAGAGGTGGTGTGTAGTTTCTATTCTTGGAGTTATTAAGAGCCACCTGGAGAAATTAATGGGTAACTGCTTGAGACATCCCTGTGTGAGCAAGGGCTTGGACAAAGAGCTGCCAGGAGCCTTCTGACCTCAGCCAGTCTGTGAATTTTAAAGGTCTTTAAATCTCCCCATTTGGCTGGGAGAGGAGCTGGTGCCAGCTTTATCCCTTCTCTGAGGTCCCTGAGCTCAGCTATGAGCCATGTCCCTGTCCCTCCTCAGGAGCACTTCCAGCACAGCTGCCCCTGCAATTTCCCCCATGCAGTTTCCCCTCAGGTGAGAATATGGTGATGTGCTGATGCCAAGGTGGGGACAGGATTGCTGTGGGGAAGAACTTGCTGCTGGCCTCTGGCAGTGACCATAGGTAGGAGCAGCACCCCCTGTTCTCCAGTGCTCATTCTAAGGACTAAGGAACCCACTGGCCCCTGCCACCTTGCAGGGACACAGGGAACCACCGCCACACACCTTACAGGGACACGGGCATACCCCAGGCACCTCAGTGGGACACAGACACCGTCCAGGAACCTCACGGGGATGTGGACACCCCGACAGAATGGGAGTCCCTCCCCTTGGGCATGTGGTACCCGTGGGGCACGTCACAGCCGTGGGTGGCTATTCTCTCCCGCCTCAGATCCCGCCCTGCGTGAACAGCAGTGCTCACCTGTTCTCCTGCTGTTCCCATTGCCAATGGCCAAGCACTGGCTCTAGCTGGAGCTGGGACCAGGGGACCTGGGGAAGGTCCTGCTCTTCTGAAATCTTTCTGCTGCCTTCCTTTGGTAGAACTCGTACCGGAGCTGTTGCAGGTAAAGGCGATGCACAGACCTGGTGGTCCTGAGCAGCAGCATGGTTTCAGCCCTCATCATCTTGTAAAATTGGGCATGATTAATGGTGCGTTTTGCCCGGCGGTCTGTCCTCATGGACTGTGAAGCTGCCTGTTCTCTTCCCTGGAAGTGACAGAGCCAGGGGCACAATGAAGTGCATAGGAGCTTGGGGGGCTAAGAAGGGTCCTATTGGCCTTCTCTTCCTCTGGGAGCACTCCAGCCTTAACAGGACTGCTCCAGGCAGCATGCTGGGCTGAGGAAACCTCTGGCAGGTTCTGTGTCATGCTGGGGGCTTCCAGAGAGTGTCAGACTTGCGACTTGGTGTGTCCCTGAGGAAGAGGCAGAGGACCCCTCGGGGCCTGCTGAGGCTCTCTTGCCCATACTGGGTTTTCATAGCCAGCCTTCTTGGCCAAGGCTGTTGTGCTTACCTGCACCCTCTGGTGAGCCTGTCTCTTCCTGTGTGACTGCTCTTGATTGCTTGCCTGTCCTTCCCTGTGTATCTGTTCTTGATTGCTCGCCTGACTCTGGGGTTCCCGCACATTTCTGCAGATGCCAAGTATAATAAAAGCCACACCAAGCACCCCCATGATTTGCCAGTTCCTGCAGAGCAGCTGGGGCATGTCCACCCAGGCAAGGTAGACCCAAAGCTGGCCCAGAGGGTAGGGCAGGTCAGAGGCCACACTCTCGGTGACAAGGGATGTTTTTTTTGGGCCCTTAGGAATGATGGCTGTCTTGACCCTGACTCTCTTGGCAGCAGTGGGTGACAGACACAGGCTCCAGAGCACCATGGCCAGGGACAGCACCAGGAGGAGCCTCATCGTGGTCTCACTGAGGAAATAACCTCAACATGCTGTCACCCAGAGCAGAGCTCAGGCAGCGACCACCTGGATTGAGGGATTGCCCCACTGGAATGTGTTTGCAGGTGTAGCCGATGTGTTGTCATGGGCTGCTGTGGCACAAGGCTCTGGGATGTCACAAAGGCTCTTTCTGCCCAACCAGTAGGCGATGAAGGCTGAGGTGGAGCTGGAGAGGACCTGGGTAGGAACTTTTTGAAGCCTGCTGCTCCCAGTGCTGTGCCTTGGAGGAGAATATTGAAATCTTCCTCCCCCAGGCACCCCCTGGGATTCCCGCCAGGACATCCTGCTGGGATGTGAGGCCCTCCTCCTGGAATGTGGCACCAGGAGAGCCCCTCACAGCCACAAATGCTTGCTCTCTCCCACCCCAATCCTCCCACAGCTCCCAGAGCACACTGGAAGCCTGCAAACAGCAGCCTGGCTTACACCCCTGCCTTTCATGTTGCTCCTTCCGAAAGGACTTGCATAGGAACAATAAACTTTATTGATATGAACAGTGCAAGAAGATTCCAAAAGTAGGCTGCTCCCAGCAGGAATTTTGCTGAGTTTTGCAGATGTCTCTGTGCATGGGCATGCTCTGACTGTCATGTTTGGGGAAACGGAGCCTGGCCTTTGGGATGCCAGTGGGCCCTGGCAACACCTTTGGGAGGGTGGCAAAGGGGACCCTCCCCAGAGAGTTGCTAAATGCCCACTGGCTGCTGTGCTATGTGGACATCCTGGAGAGAATTCACTGCCATCTGTAAGAAAATACTCCAGTTGGCATTGTCATCCACCTACTTCCAAGCCACTATCCTTCCAGGTGCAATGCTTGCAATCACACCAGTTTTGGCGATTCAATGGACTAAGGAACTCAGCGGGTC